ATGTCACCAACAATGGTGAGCGTGAACGCAGGCCCCTGTCAATCCTGAAATAGCACTATATATTTCGCTGGGGTGAAAGATAAGCCAAAATTGGATGCCTCAATCGCTAAGTGATTTAGGGTGTTCTGTACGGTTTGCAAATCGTCACCGAGCAAAGCGATGTAATCGATGTAGTTCAAGTCTGCGATACAAGTAAGACAGACTGCCGACCTCCGAAAGGCATAATTCCACTGCACATGCTACGGTGCCTAGAGAAAATGCATCGCATGACACCGCAGCGTTTGCTCCACTGTGCATTTTTTGCGGGCTCAGAAGTCGACTGGAAGCGAAAGCAAAGTGGCCAACCAATGACCCGGGCCCAACGCACAGAGGAGCTAACATCGGAGTTGATCGTCCTCTGGCACTCTCGACTTCCCAAATGCGGAAGCAAGAAGTACGAAAATGCCTGGCAAAGTCTCGCGCCTAATGGCGAACATATTGTGAGACTGTACTCCAGTAATTACAGTTAAACAGTTGTTTCTCTCTCTTACGGTATTGTGTTGATCCATATGTTGCGGTACACCGCCGTATATATATATATATATATATATATATATATATATATATATATATATATATATATATATATATATATATATATATATATATATATATATATATCACTTATCACGGATTCACTTATAACTGATTTCTTCTATATGCTCATTTAGCGAGTATTTATGTCGTCATATGCGTTCACTTTCTTCGATATCGGCATTTTGAATGATTGGCTGTTGTGTGACATCCCAGGTGTGGCTGCGCTTGATGTGCATGTTGACAAGGTGTCTACCTGTCTATTACCCACTAACTCGTCCATACTGGCTCCAGGAGACAGTTGGTCGTTGCTGGAGGGGACGGCGTGCACGGTCCTTGTGGTCGTGTTAGGCTCGAAGAGTGGTTCAATGCAGTCAGTGTGGAGCGGACTACGGTAAAGCAACCGCCTTCTGTGCACTTGATTTTCCAAATACAGCGTGCTTGTGTTTGCCTGTGAAGGAGTGTGGGCCGGCTCCGTTGATGAAACGTGGCTCCCATCCACATGCCTCCCGGACTTATTCCTTCGGGTTTACACTGGATATGGGGTGTGTGGATGGAACTGTGGGTGGTGCAGCGCAAGCCATCCATGGTCCCTCTGAAGGAGCAGGCGTCCTGTGGCTGTCCACAGTGACAGGTAAATCCGAAACCGGATGCCGCCAACCACATATATATATGTATATGTATATATATATATATGTATATACATGTATATATATATATATAGTGAACGTATTGAATGGTAGCGATTGAGGTGAGTTGCCTTCTCTCAGTGACTTGCAAAGACCCGGGTGTTCTGGGACTGAGGAAGGTACACGTTGCAGTTGAGTTCTATATCATTTAATTGTACCGTCGTTAACGTCTCGGCTTCCTTTCTTAATTGGATCCGAGAGTTTTTGCGTAGTACTCGAGCCCCAAGCGAATTAGTGGCCTACATAAATAGCTTGTCGCCACAGTAGAGTATACAGCCATATCTGCCGGAGTAGCAGGATTTACTAGATGTTCTATTACTATGGTCGCGTCAAAAAGGTCATCAGAGAATGTGTGATATTATCGCTTTCCAACGAATATGGCAGACGGCATCTACAATACACGCCGAAGATAAGTCATCATCGTTTTACGGTCTCTAATTTTTGTGCATCATTCCACCTGGTAACCGCATTGATTACATGGGCTTCCCTATTCCTATATCTGTCTCTAGCTATCTATTGTTGATGCCCACAGTTCGGACTAAATTTATGACTGCCATTTAGGTTCACATCCAAACGTTAATTAAGCACCGACAGTCGGATTAGTTGCTTAGAATTGAACGCGCGAGTTTCCAAAACTAGAGGAACATGGCTGTTAATGTTACATTAAAACCAAACGCACGTAGGTATCTAGTGTTGGTGCTAATGAGGGTTACTGTGTCTCCATCCAGTTTGTGGTAGTCCATACACAACTGTGAACAAATGCCCGCTCGCAATACTGCAGTACTGCATTCAAACTAGGGACTTTTGGTATGTCAACTGACATCTCTACTCGCAGCGAGCAGTGCTCGTCATCATGTTGAATGACTAAGTGGAAGTGAATTAGAAAACGTTGCAAGCGCCACATTTCCGCTTGTCAGACTGATCGCATTTTCACACACGTGACACTATTATTTAATGGCTGGATTTTTAATTGGGGCTCGCCCAAAATACACGTAGCGCTAACATCTGTTTGTGTCTCGTTACGTTCCCACTTGACAGATGGATCATAGTACATTTCATTCGTACGACACCGTGGAGTATTGCGTGCCGCAATGTGATATCAATGCAGCCAGGTTACGTGTCTATGTACTGCGCAAAAAGATTCAACCATCAATTTTGATTCAGGGACAGCGGTAACAAGATGTGACATCTGAATCGAAATGTCTGAACATAGGTCACCCTCTGGGCATTAATGAACTGGTCGAGATAGGCTAGCGTACAGAACCGGCGACCAAGCGGACCATAATTAGTCACACATGACTGCCTGGTGGTCCCATGTACATGTGAATGCTCGCTTACCTTTCGGACGATCAGACCGGCTCTGGCGGCGGACCTTTCAACACGGATAGCCTGAAGTTAATATAAAAGACGACGTTTACAGCAAACAGCAACGATAAGTCATCACAGTTCTACTGTGCTTTTTGCTTCTGTTTTATGCCACGTTGTAACGTTGTCAATGTTTTGAAAGCTGTGTGTTTGACGAGACTTAGTTGATGTAGTACTGCTGTTGTCATGCCGACGAGGTGGTAAGCTGCGAATATGTGGTATTTCCACCTGTTAAAGCTTATGGTTGCGCAAAAAAGGTTCTTTGGGAATCCGCACGTACCTCGGGCAGCAGATGATCGAACCGGTCAGGCGACATGGAGAGCCTGAGGTGAACACCCCATCGCAGTTGTACGCTGTGCGATTTCCCTTATCAGCTACGCAAACCAGACTGCACATATAGGCGACCACACCTAGGTACACACTATTTTTACTGTACCACTTGATTAGTAATCCTTGTACTCGGTAACCGTACTGATGGCAGTTGCTTTATTATTCCTATGTCGGTTTCGTTTAAATATGGATACCCAAGATTTAGGGCTATCAATTATGTTCAGGGCCAAATGTTAACGTAAGCAACAACAGCTCAGATATGGTACTTATTCTCATGCGTACGAAAAATGCTGTTAGTCTGACCATCAAACGAAACCCATGCACGTTTGTAGTACTATTTTGTACATGAGATTGAATGTGCCTCTATCCGGTTTATGGTAGTTCATACTTCAGTTTGGACAAGCGGACGTAAATATGTTGCATTCGAACTGCCATTGGACATGGATGACGCCAATCCATATAGATATGTATATCGAACTGATTCGACGAGAATACTCATACGGTTTTTGTGAGCCACCTTAATGCAGGGAAACGGGTTAGGGGCAAACCAGTATTACATCACCAGGACATGAAGAAGGAGAGTTTATCATGAACATAGGTTGATTTCAGGTGTTGAGAATCAAAGGCAAAGTTGATCGGTGCGAATTCCGTGGGCTGATCAAAAGGGCAGTTGCCCAGATGCAGGAGAAGGCATCATTGCATGCGGAGCGAAAGCGCGATGTGTCCGTTCCCATTAGATTTACTAATCCAGGCCAATAAGGCGGCGGCTGTGGCAAGTTTATCTGCGTGCTAAGCATTTTTACATTTCAGGGGTTAGATGATTGTGCTCCCCGGTGTGGCTGCGATTGTTGTGAATGTTGACAAGGTGCCTACCTGTCTATTACTCATCAACTCGTCGATACTAGCTTCAGGAGACAGTTGGTCGTTGCTGGAGGGGCTGGGGTTTACCGTCCTCGTGATGGTGCTAGATTCAAAGAGTGGTTCCATGCATCCTGTATGGAACGGGCTACAGCCCAACCACCGCCTTGTGTACGTCTGGTGTGCATGATTTCCCAATTAGGTCGGAATGCTTCCGTTCTGCTTGTTAAAGGAGCGTGTGCCTGCGCCGCTGATAACACGTGGCTCCTCTCCACATGCCTCCTGGTCTTATTCCTTCTGGTTTACACTGGATGCGGGATGTGTGGCTGAAACTGTATGTGGTGCAGCGAATGCCACGCACGGTCCCTCTAAACGCAGGCATCCTGCCGCCGTCCCCCTGGAGGCCACAGTGACAGGCAAATCCGGATACGATGCCACCAATGCATATATATATGTGTATATATATATATGTATATATATATATATATGTATATATATATATATATATATATATATATATATATATATATATATATATATATATATATATATATATATATATATATATATACGAAATCGGGACCTAGAGTTGGGCTCTGTCTCCTGGCAGTCGTACTTTGAGACAAATTATAGATGTGCTAGTTTGGATATTTTGGGGGTAAAGTGGGACGCCGAACGGCCTAAGGTTGCCTGTTAGCGAGTGTCGCCTCCTTTCTGTAACAGCTCAGTAACCTGTAGCTACGTGCTACTTCCGTGCTATGGGTATTTCGGTGATAGACATTTTCCACTTGCTGGAGATTTCTATTCGTCCGCATAGTACTAACGGACTTCCAACGAGCATCACACAACCAAGTGAGACGGTGTGAAAACCAAGTATAACTAACAAACAGAAGCATAAATGGAGATGAACGACAATACTGAGAAACTACAGGGACATGACCACTTGCGAAAAGTGTTCAAGTAACCGGCCTGACACTATCAGATCATTTAATCTGGTGAGAACGCGATACCAAAGGTAAATTATGCAGAGCGTCAAGAGTTAAGCATTAAAGCAATCTGTCAAGTTAGTAAGAACAAAAAGAGAAACACACAGCGTGTTCGCTAAACGCAACTTTAAAAAGTAAAACAATTACCTAAAGTTGACAGCGAAAATGGTAATTAGCAAATACATGAACGAATACTAACTCTTGACATTCGTAATGGGCAGGTATTGTAAAGTCCGGTTGTTGCAAAGATCGCCGTAGCAGCAACATGAGTATAAACCATCTCCAGTAGAATGTAGCATTTGGCAGACCCCAAATGAAGACGGGCAGTACATTTTCTGAACAATAAGAAGTCGAAAGTAGACCAACCTACCAGTTCTTGCCATGGCCAACAATCATAAGTGCGCCGCTCTAAGTTACCGATTCCGGAGTCACGGATGAGTGTAATAAGGCAATGGTCCACCTCGTTGTCGCACAATTTGGGCATTAGTCCAGCGCCAACTACTGCAGTGAACGAGGATGCGCAACGGATAGCGTGAATACCACCATAAAGATCCAGGACCAAATAGAAAACCAGTGCCGCGATAGACATAACGTCAGAGTTGAAAGACAGCAATACTGGTGCATCTAAACAGAAGACAGGCAAAAAAGGATACGATTATACTTAACAATATTCTAATTTCTTACGTACTGAAGCATGGAATTTGGCTTTTGATCGCGATGAAAACAGGAAATACAGAGAAGCGTAGGCACACAAACTAGTTGGAATAAAGATCATTTGCTGACGCTTAGCGACGTGAAATATACTCCACGGCACAGATTTACGAGTTTGTCTTCGGGATATCACGGGGGCGAACGCGATATAAATGCAAACAAGCTCGGAAACAAGAACAGCGCATAAGGGTAGATAGACCGTTATGCGCTTCACGATAATGAGCACAAAAAACAGTCAGTTCCCTTCAGCAGTTTGAACAACGAAATGAGAAGACGAATATTGGCAGATGCTAGCATTTCATATTATCTCGTCAGTACCAATACAATAACAGGGAAATCCTTTTATAAGTGTAATAGGGCACAGTCAAGCCAATCAAATTTATGGTTGTGGTCATTGTTGTTGAGGATTTGGACCACGGCAACCGCACGTGGACAACTATTTACTTTTGGACACACAAAGCCGGTCTAATTCGGCTTATCGTGACGGCCTCGGCAAATCGCAAAAGGCATGAATTTGTATGACGCAACAAGATCCGGAACGCCGATAAGGGATTAATCCAGTGACGAGTCGCCAAGATGTGTCTGCCTATGGAGAACGCTGCCGGCTTACGCGAGCACGTATCGTCGGAGTTCGATTGAGTAACTTCGCGCTGAACCCGGTTTGGTAAGTGTTCCTTCACAGTGGAATTTAAGGCCCGTTCGGTTCTGCCGGTGTAACTGATGCCGCAGTCACACACGAACTGGTAAACACAATGTGATTTGGCGCCGATGGGTTCATCTTTCTTTACTGAAGATAAAGGCAATTTTCGGGTTCTGTTGATAATTACCACCTCCGCAGCACGGTATGTGCGCTGAATGGCCAAGACAATGCGTTTCGTTGTTCTTCTTGCTGTGGTGTCACGCTTGTATGGTAGTCGATGTACACCTTTTTCTTTGGGGCTGTCAACACTATATATATATATATATATATATATATATATATATATATATATATATATATATATATATATATATATATATATATATATATATATATATATATATATATATATATATATATATATATATACAGAAAATACACAATCTGTACCACAGATATTGTGCCATCGGAATCATGGCTGAATAGGAAGACAGTATGAACAATAAGAAAGAGCAGCAACAGCAAAAGCTTTCTTTGTCTAGTTTACCACTCACAGTTTTTGAAATTTTTTCAGTTTGTTCCTTTTTTAGGGGGAGGAAGAAGGGACACCGCAACAAACCGATGCACACGTCCGCCATTGACATCGATCTGGAGCCATGGTTCCAAGGTCTTCAGCCAGGAAGTATCCGCATCTCTCGGACCCCAACCAGGTAGTCGACATCAACCAACCGAGGCCAACTGTTTCGTCAGCTTTTTCATGAGGCTTCTCCATGTTGTAGGCTGTCCACCAGACCGTCTTCTTCAGCCCTGTCCAGAAACCGCAAACAACGAACGACGGGGGTAACGCTGGACAGGCATGCGCAATACGTGTCCCAACCACCGCAGTTGATGCAGTGAGACGGGCTCCTCGAGCGAGTGGCTTCCACGTCCTAAGACGCGCTGTCTAACTTCCACATTGCTTACGTGGTGCTGCCACTACACACGGGCAATGGACCGCAGACAGCGGTGCTCGAAAACGGATAGCCTGCGCAAGTGATCTTTACGAATGGGCCAGGTCTCGCATCCGTACAACAGTACAGCACGAACAGTTGCACAATAGACCCGCCATTTGACGGAGAGACGAGTGTCGTGGCGACGCCACAAGTGCCTCTGCCTAGAAAAAGCGAGGCGTGCTCTCGAGATGCGCATCGAAATCTCGTTTCCTACAGTCGCGCCAGCAGTGATGCAACTTCCCAAATAGACAAAGCTCTCCACAACTTCTAGTGCTTCACCACCAAGAGTGAGTGCAGGCAGAGGCACCCGTCAGTCTTGGAAGAGAGCCCTGCATTTAGATGGCGAAAAGTACGTACCATACTTTGATGTGTCAATTGCCAAGCGGTTTAGTGCAAGTTGGAAGACATGTGGATCGTCACCCAACAAGACGATATCATCAGCATAATCCAAATCAACAACTCGACTACTTGGGAGGAACTCAACGCCAGCGTTCAACGAATTGCCCAGAGCGTTCTTCAGGACATCCTCAATGGCAAAGTTGAATAGGAACGGAGAGATAGGGCATCCTTGTCGAACTCCACTGGAGACCACAAAGGTAGGCGAAAACATGCCATAAGCCCTAACCCTCCCCGAGGTCAGACTATAGAGAGCGCGCAGTATGGAGACGAACTGCTCGGGGACACCATTCCTCAGTAGGCAGTGCCACAGTACCGTGCGATCGAAGGTATCGAAAGCTGCACGGATATCCAGGAAAACAGCAATCGTTGGCCTCTGATACATAGGCAGTAGCTCGAGGATCTGGCGGAGTGGGAAGATTTGATCGATACAGCCGCGACCAGGACGAAACCCAGCTTGTTCTTCTCGTTGCAACGATTCGCGCGTTGGGAATAGCCTGCGAAGTATGATGGACACCAGCAGCTTGCAAACGACGGGGACTAAGCTTATGCCTCTGTAGTTGGAGCAGATTGTGCGCAAGCCCTTTTTGAAGATGGGGACGACTATCGATTCACTCCAAGATGATGGAACTTTCTCTTTTGACCAAATTTTCGAGAACAAAGTGGTGAGTTCTCGAACCAGCGAAGCGCCACCATCTTTAAATAGAGCTGGAGGAAGACCATCAGGGCCGGGAGCTTTATAGCGCTTCATGTGCCGGAGCTCCTGTTCGAGTTCCTGGTAAGAGTGGGGATCTGTGGGGTAGACCACTCGGCCCCAGCGCGAGCGCCAGAGGTAGCAAATGAAGCTGGGGCCCAACAAAACTGCGAGCCAAAATGTTCGGCCCATCGCTCCAACCGTCATTGAAGATTGGTGATTAAAGTGCCATCCTTTTCGCATCTTGTTTCACTTATACCAGATCGAACACCTTCGGTGACTTGAATAAGATGGAAATGTTTTCTGGTATTACCAGAGAGACTAGCAAGCTCCATCTCCCTAGCACATTCACCCCACCAAGCTTCGCGGTCCATTTGCAGACTCCTGCGCAACTCTCGAGCCAGGGATTGGCGCTCGTCACTGTGTCTGGAATCCGATGGGATCAAGCGGCGTTTGTCAATCAGCGACAAGGAGACGGCGGAAATCCAATGCTTCGGTGGGTGACGGGTAACTCGATACTGGCAAAAACTAAGGCATCTTTTATATGCCCCCATTGCGAATCAAGATCACTGTCAATAGTTGAGGCAAGCAAGGTTGACAGTGAGGCTTGGTACCTGGTTACAATCGCAGGGTTTTGTAGATTTGCGATGTCCGGTAGGTAGAGAGCGCGCTTAGGTGATCCTCCGAAACGCATGCAAATCTTAGCACGAACCAATGCGTGATCGGAGTCTAGATAAGTTGACCAGTACGATCGGCAGTCCGTTACACTCCCGCGCCATCTGGCTGGCTTGCCGAACTACCTCCTCGTGGTGCCAGCTGGGTGGTTCGGGTGTACCCCGTTTCAGCAAATTGTTCGGCGACAATGTTTCACCTCAGTGGGACATTGTATTCCAGCAGGTGTGCTGACTATATGGGGAGTATTGCGCCCCTGTTTAGTAATCTACCAAACAAAGACGCATGAACTGAACATTCAGTCAGCGCTTCCTAACGGGCGCGATTCCCTAAATTCGCCCCGCTGCCTTGCAGGTAGGTTATTTAGCCAAAGGCTCGGGGTGAAGTCCCCTAAGTCAACTCCCTACTTCGGCTTGGGCAACCGGGTAGTATCACGTCCTCTCGCAAAAACATGGACTGTATTACAACTTGCTCATCAGCTGCTGTTTCTGCTAGTCACTTTCACGCGACTTCATCACACGCCAATTGTTTGTTTGTTAACAATCCTCACTTTTCGTTATTCGATTCATGTGCTCAACAATCTGGCTGCGATTCCGGTTGCGCCGCAGACCAAGAGGTTCAACCTATGGCTCTCCTTCGTCCCCGATCCTCGTTCCGTCTGGCGTGCTTCAACGTTCGGACACTCATGCAGATTGGACGGCAAGCCGGTCTAGCGCGCACTCTAGATTCCCTCGACATTGATGTCTGCTGCCTTTCAGAAACCCGATTGCAAGATCGCAGCACTGTGTTTACACTGACGTCCCCCACTGACCACGAAACCAGATATCACCTGCGTCTTTCTGGAGATCCAGAAGCAGCCTCAGCGGGTCTGGCTGGTGTAGGTATAGCACTAAGTGACAAGGCCGAGGCAGCACTACTGGACTGGTTCCCTATTAACAGCCGACTATGTGCAGTTCGGCTTCGGGGTTCGTGTAGAATCAACAGGCACCGCGAAGAGAGACACAACTTGTTTGTGGTCTCCGTGTACGCTCCAACTGACTGCAGTGGCGACTCGGTCAAGGACGAATTCTATCGGGATCTACAACAGCTCTTGACTAATGCTAAAAAGTCGAATGTCGTTATTCTTGCTGGGGATTTTAATGCACGGGTTGGCCGCCTGTTACCATACGAACGCCACCTTGGTGGTCATCACTCGCTCGATGAGAACCGCTCTGATAACGGAGAGAGACTTCTCACATTGTGCGAAGACAACCGTCTGTTTCTTTCGAGCACTAACTTCAGGCGTACGAAGAAGCGTTCCGCAACGTAGCGTCCCCCTTCTGCAACACAACCGTGGTCTCAAATTGATCACAATGCAATTAGCTTCAGATGGCGCGGCAGCATACTAGACTGTAGGTCCTTTTGGTCCACCTTCGTTGATTCAGACCATGCTCTGGTCTGCGTGAAAATCTGTATGTGTTTTGGAGGATCCCGAAACACGAAGC